AAAGCACTATAAGATGAAATATATAAAATATTTTGCCGGGATCGTACATGCAGTCCATAAACCTTGTTTGCTCATGTCGCAATTTAAGGGCACATTTTTCTACTTAAATCTACCATCATTTACTGATGTCTTGACATTTCCCATCCAATTTCCTATCCGTTCAAGTGTCAAGAGTGTGGTTGTGGTCTTTGAGCACTGCTCAGGTCTTTGGGGTAATTTTCTGCAGCCTTTCCAAGCTCAACAGCTCAATAACTTGAAGTGAAAGTTTTAAAATCAAGGAGTTGTCAGACAATGAGCCAATGGTTGGAGGCTGGCCAGGATGATGATTCCAGGAGATAGTGAACTGAGGTAAAGTTGTGAGGCATATGACGTTATTGAAGTGGAAATAGGTGACCTTGATGTTGAAGCAAATTTATCAGTTGATGCCATCTTGGATTTTTTTTTAAATTTTGTCAACAGAGTGTTGTCAACACCAATGCAAATTTCCACTTTTGGAGTATCTTGTGACCTTTAACGAGTAGGGAGCTTATTTTGTTAGAGCCTCAGGAGACTGATAACAAATATGCAAACTGTTATTTTTACTGAAGGATTATTGCTCAAATAACTCAAGGAAATTTATTGACATCAGTTGACATTCAATGCCAGTATAATGACTGAGCTTGATCTCTGAGATTGTTTTGTCCCCAGTCCCATGCAATGACATGTATCAAGGGGGTGCAGTCTAGGTGAGACAGTGTCCTTAAGAGCAATGATTAATACAAGAGTAATTGTTTGAGGGTCCAGCTGAAGGGAACTCTGAAATAGAACAGCAGCTGACAGAACATCTCTTGTTACTTTTTAGATGTCCTTAAACTGACCTGCTGGATAAAAGTCAGACAATTGCTGAGAGTTCAACAGATGTGGATGGAAAATTAATCAGTTAACATTAAAAACAACCTGGGTTTATCTCATTGACAAGGACTTTTTCTACACATGCCTTAGCAATCAACCAGCACCCTCTGTGTCATGTCAATAAACAAATTTTGGTTCCAATTTACCAAATTGCCCTGGATTCCATGGCCTCTTAACTTCTTGACTAGGCTCTCATGAGGCACCTTGTCAAAACCTTACTGAAGTTCATGATGTCTACATTAACCTCAATACCCTCATCAACACAGCTTCTCAGAAAATTCAATGAAATTTGTTAGACATGAACACCTCCTGAAAAGCCAAGCTGACTATTCTTGATTAATTCTTGTCTCTCCAAGTGGAGATTGATTCTGACACTCTGAAGTTTTTCCAAAAGTTTGCTTTCCACTGTCATTAGGCTCAATGGCCTGTAAGTCTCTGGTTTGTCCCTACGACCTTTCTTGAACAATAGTACGACATTAGCTGTCTTTCAGTCTCCTGGCACCACTCTTGTGGCCAGAGAGGGTTTGAAAATTAATGTTAGAGCCCCTGTAATCATTTTCCTGCCTCCTACAGCAGCCTGGGATACATCTCATCCAGGCCTGAGGATTTATCCAATTCTAAGCCCACTAAAATCATTAATACCTTCTCCCTGATTTCCATGTCTACATCATCCTTTTCTAATATGAATAGAGGTACAGACTACTTGATTAAAATTTCCCATACAGTTTGCCACTTTGGTCCCTGATGGACCTTCATTTTCCTCTTGCCTTTATTGTATTTCTAAAGTGTCCTTGGATTTTTCTTTATTTTACCTGACAATTTTTTCGTGTCCCCTCTCCATTGTCCTGATTTTGTTTTTCAGTAATGCTCTGTACTTTCTTTATTCTGCTGGGACTTCTGTTGGATTTAGTCCTTGGTATCTACAATAAGTGTCCCTTTTTTTTCCCTTATCCAGTACTGTGGTGGTGAGCAATCTGCCTGAAGTCCTACTGTCCATGTGGAATAGATACCGTTACGTTCCAGCTGATGTTATTACTGGACCTGTCAGATCCCAGGCTGGAGTCAAACTTGATAGATCATAGATTTTTTTATTTAATGAGGTAGCATTTCACTGAAACATAAGCACATGATTCTGTGGATTTGATTTTAACAATAAAACAGAGCTTGAAACACAAAAGAAAAGATAAAATATTATAAACCAAACTATTTGCTTCTGACACAATTTGAACAAATTTGAAACACAGTAAAAAAACAATATTCAATCTATCCCAGCACCATCCCTTTATAGTGCTCAAACACAAGGGAGAGTTTGCTTCTTTATCACATCTATAGGTTTAACTTAATTGTTTCTTTCAATTCCTGGTCTTGAGCGTTTGGTAGTCTCTTCTTTGATACATTACAAAACTGAATTTAGTCTTTTTCAATTTTAAATAATCCTTTCAGGGATCTAATCATCACTTTTGGTCTGGAACTATCAACTAAAACACTTACACTGAGATAACCTATTTCTTAACTGTTCTGTCTTCTGTCTTCAGGAGAAACTGTTTCATACATATCACCTCAACCGCGACTTCTGCAAACTCATCAACAAAAGTTTTCCAAGCTATGGGTTTTATTTTCCCCGAAGCAAATAAAAAAAATTCCTGATCTGACTAAACAGAAAGCATGCTCATGTTCCTCAACATTTATTATATCCACCCTTAAAACTCTCCCAATGCAATTCTCAGGGACTTGTTCTCTCATAATTTTTTTTTAAAAACTGGCTTAAGAAATACTGACAAGTTAATCATTAAATCCCCTTCAAGCATGCAGACCAAAACCAATCATTTAGTTCAAAATCCAAACTTGAAAATAAACTATATCAAGATATATAAAGAAATTACACATTTTACATCACAGTACATCCAGAGGGTTTTTGCCTGTAGTGTTTGAACACTTACTAGGCCTTTTCAGAGGGTAGTTTAAAGTCAACATGTAGCGTCTGCAGTCATGTATAGGTCACATACAGATCAGATATGAATATCAGATTTCTTAAATTGACATTAGGGAGCCAGTTAGGTTTTTAAACAATAGTCTGGTACTTTCTTGAGACTAGCAATTTTGCCCAGTTTTATCAACTAATTGAACTTTAATTCCCCCAAGTGTCATGGTGGAAATTAGACTTCACAGCTCAGGTCTCTGGATTACTAATCTAGTGACATTGCCAACATCCAATCATCCCCTAAAGTTTATAGTCTTCACCAGATCACCAGATTTCAACAACAATGTGACAAATATCTAAAGTGATAACCGGTTCACTTAACTTATGCACAGTAACTGTCAAACCAAAGAGCCAATAAATATAAGACAGTATATTCCCCAATTTTTAAAAATTCATTCATAGGATGAGGGCATCCCTGACTCAGCAGGCATTTATTGTGTATCCCATTGCTTAGAGGGCAGTTAAGAGTCACCACATTGTGGTGTGTCTAGAGTCACATGTAGGCCAGACTAGTAAGGATGGCAGTTTCCTTTGCTAAAGGGGATGAGTGAACTTAATGGGTTTTTCCAGCAATTGAGCATGGTTTCATGGTCATCATTACATTCCTAATTACAGATTTTTTATTGAATTCAAATTCAACCATTTTCTGTGGCAAGATTCTGGATCCCCAGAACATTACCTGGGTTGCTGGATTAACAGTCCAGTGATAATACCACTAGGCCATCACCTCCCCTTTAACAAATAGAAAGTGGTACGTGAGCAAGCAGTTTAACTGATTTCTGGTTTTGAGCTTTCAAGAGTAGGAGGGGTGAACAAATTGTTGAGAGTGGGGAAGATTGCTTTGTCACTCATCAGCTCATGCCATCAGTCATCGGGGCTAAAGCTGGTGGGTTCCGAGTTACAAATTGTCTTCCCTTTGTGAATTGAGTCAAGAATTTCCTAAACAAGCAATGACTTGCCCCCACACCTCCTCCCTCACCCCCATCCCAGGCCCCAAGAAAACTTTCCACATCAAGCAGATGTTCACCTGCACATCTGCTAATGTGGTATACTGCATCCGCTGTACCCATTGTGGCCTCCTCTACATCGGGGAAACTAAGCGGAGGCTTGGTGACCGCTTTGCAGACCACCTACGCTCGGTTCGCAATAAACAACTGCACCTCCCAGTCGCGAACAATTTCAACTCCCCCTCCCATTCCTCAGACGACATGTCCATCCTGGGCCTCCTGCAGTGCCACAACGATGCCACCCGAAGGTTGCAGGAACAGCAACTCATATTCCGCTTGGGAACCCTGCAGCCCAATGGTATCAATGTGGACTTCACAAGCTTCAAAATCTCCCCTCCCCCTACCGCATCCTAAAACCAGCTCAGCTCGTCCCCGCCTCCCTAACCTGTTCTTCCTCCCACCTATCCCCTTCTCCCACGTCAAGCCGCACCCCCATCTCCTACCTACTAACCTCATCCCGCCCCCTTGACCTGTCCGTCCTCCCTGGACTGACCTATCTCCTCCCTACCTCCCCACCTACACTCACCTTTACTGGCTCCATCCCCGCCTCTTCGACCTGTTTGTTTCCTCTCCACCTATCTTCTCCTCTATCCATCTTCTATCCGCCTTCCCCTCTCTCCCTATTTATTTCAGAACCCCCTTCCCCTCCCCCATTTCTGAAGAAGGGTCTAGGCCCGAAACGTCAGCCTCTCTGCTCCTATGATGCTGCTTGGCCTGCTGTGTTCATCCAGCTCTACACCTTGTTATCTCAGATTCTCCAGCATCTGCAGTTCCTACTATCTATGACTTGCTACCAAGTTCCTTTTCTAGAGGATTAATGACAAATGTCCAATTCTTGAGATTTCTGCCATTAGACACAATAGTATAAATGTTCCTCCCCTCATTGTATACTCTAGACACATCAAAGATGTGTCAACAGCTTTATTCTTGAGCTGCTAGCAATTGTCCCTTCTAGTCTGTGTCACTCAATTTCAGTGAATCCTCGTTTTTGTCTCTTTCTGATCCTAATATTTCAGGTGCTAGCAGCCTTTAAAGGAAGGCAAGCTGACAGTCAGACTTCTTTCCACTTGCCCCATGAATTGCTCAATAGTGGAAAATCAATAAATTATTAACAAGGTTCTGAGAATTGGCAACAATGGCGGTTAGAAGCAAGAGATTAGAGAAGGATCACTGATGACGCACATTTTATTCATCTTGTGTACTGGTCTGGAATATGGACGAGAAACTAGGTAAGCCTCCTGCATTCGAGCACATTATTGAAGACTTGAATGAACTGGGATGTTATTGAGACTTAAGAGTTACTGAAGGGAAAATAAGTTTAACACAAAGGAGCAAAATAGGTTTCTTGAAGGTAGTTTTGGCAAAGGAGGCGATGTGTGCATTCCAAACTGGGCTCAGAGGAAAGTATAAAGTTGAGATTTAAGAAGTGCATGTGTAACCTAGGTGCGTTATTGCTTTTTTTTAAATAAATGTGTACATTTATATTGCACCTTTCATAGGCACTGGACATCTACAAACACTTTACAGACAATTAAATACTTTCTAACGTTGTAATGTAGGAAATGCAACAACTAATTTGCAATAGCAAGTTTCCACAAATAGAAATGTATTAATAAAAACTGAAAGAATTGTGGATGCTGTAAATCAAGAACAAAAACAGAAGTTGCTGGAAAAGCTCAGCAGGTCTGGCAGCATCTATGAAGAAAAATCAGAGTTAACGTTTCATGTCCATGAACGTTAGCTCTGTCTTTTCTTCACAGATGCTGCCAGACCTGCTGAGCTTTTCCCGAAATGTGTTAATGATGCATAATACTTATCGGTGATTTTGTTGACTGAGGGATAAACATTAGCCAAGAGAGCAAATTCCTCCGCTCTTCTTTGAATTAATGATTGTGGGAGCTTTTATTTCTGAGAGGGCAGACAAAACTTCATTTGAAACATATTGCTGCAGACAGTCACCAAACACGATTCTCAGAGCAATCTCTGACTCAGGAATGATAGTGCTACTAATCAAGCCACTACTGGTGCTTAAAGAACAGCTATGAAATACATTTACATTACTTCATTTCTAAATAGAGAGTCTAGTCTTAACCACAGTGTTAATTTACTGAGTAAGATTTTATCAGATTAACAAACATTTTAAAGATTTACAATGCAACCTGGATTAAAACATGTAAATTATTCACAATTTTAAGACTGAATTCTCAATCTGCACGATGAAATTCAACTTTGAATTCAGGTTTGTACAATATTCTAATGACACGATGATCAAACATTTAAGTGAAAACAGATAAATACCTTATTTTAATTTACTATTTGAGTGTGACAGTCATTGGCTATTTATGAGCACATTTACACTGTTATATTCTGAGACATGTACAGGGCATAAACAATATGATATGTAACAGCAGGTACCCCATTTTTCTGTTCAGGTGAATGGAAACTTCCAGGAAACTGAAGATCAGCAAATAATCCTATTAATATACTGGCCAACATTCTTTCCTCAGCCAACACACAAAAAAAAAACAAATGATCAGGTCATTCACCTTGTCACGAGGCACTAGCTATGCATTTAGCATAACAACAGCCACTGTACTTTAAATGTAATCTATTGGACACTAGCTGCTTTGTGCCCTCGTGAAGATGTGTAGGTGTTATATAAATGCAATCTCTTTCCTCATTTGATGGAGCTTGGTGAGAAAAGAAATTCAAAGATATTGAAATATAATACAAGCTTCTATATGAAGGATTGGGGAAATGCAGCCAAAAAAATCAAACCTAAGGGACTTTCAAAGAATGCTAGCTTTCCTGCCTTTTGTTGCGAATGGAGTTCCCATCTGCATAAACCTCATCTCTGAAAGAAATACATCATGTAAAAGTTGCATTGCAAAGATTTTAGAATCTGCAGGCTTTTAACATCAGGATTTTACCCACACCACCTCTGAACTGGCAGGGTTTTACTTAATGCAAACTTCTGAACAATCTTGAAACAGATATGTTGCAGACAACAGGCAACAAGAAAAAAAGCATTTGTGTACAAGGCAAAGTTTTTTTTATTGTTTTCAGTCTTCCAAAGACACTACACATTCAGAGCTGGTTAAACCACAAATTACACAACACCAGGTTACATCCGAATGCCTGAAGTGCTTCTAACATCTCTTCATTACAACAGAAATGTGTAATTTATGCTGCACTTGTGCCATTCAAACATGTGCCTTGTTTTTAATGTACCTTTGCACTCAAACGGAAGTGGAGATACTGCTGCTCTATGAGAGTACCAGATCGACAAATTCTGTAAGATAAGATGTTGAGACTTTTATAGTTCTTACATTCAGTGGAAGGCATCAGTTGCTTTAACAAATGCTTCGATACCCCAAAACAATTTTTAAAAAGATTTATAAACATGAATAAAACACTTGAATGGCAGAAACAAAATGATCAAAATGGTTTTTAACTTTTAAAGTTAAGAATTAAAATCCCATCTATGATATAGGTTACAGTTGTTTCTCAGAAGAGTTCAAACATGTTTGAAAGTGATAATTCTTTAAAGATTAATCAACATACCATCAGTACCAAGTCTCCCATCACCATCTTTATCTCCTCCATCCATGAATGTCTTGGTCTCATTGTCATTCAACACTCTGGCTCCAGCAGAGAATCTCTGCAGAAAGTACCTGGAAGAGCAAAACAAGTTAAAGAATGAATCCAATGTTTTCTTCAAAAGGCCATCTGGGAACATAATCTTCACCCCATGAATTCAAATGCACCTGTTATTTAACAGTGCAGTAGAGATTGCTCTCAGGTAACAATGATGTCTGGTCTTATTTCCAAATCCAATTAAAGAATTATTTATTCCTCCATTGTTGGTGCAAATGACTACTGAAGATAATTGTTGCATTGTGTCTCAGAAAATATTGCAACATGCATTAGCTAATGATATTTTTAATGATTAAAACTAGAAAATTAAAAACATTAATTTAAAAAAAATTAAAAATCTAGAATTCCTTTGTGGAATGATCACAACATTCAAGATTCTATCCAGTCACAAAGCCAAGCAATACTATTACTGGAATTAGTTTGGATGATGAACTATTCTTTAGCTGGAGAGCAGATAGAATGTGGAAGTTGAGGTGAATTGAGGTGACTAGCATAGATGCATTTAAGGAGCGGCTAAACACATGAGGGAGAAAGGAATAGAAGATTATGTTGATACGATGAGATGTAATTTCATTGAGGGAGGAGCAGGAGCTTTGTGGGGAACATAAACACTGCTCTGGTCCAGCTGTGTCAAATGGATTGTTTCTGTTCTATGTACATAAATTCCTAGGCTCAATGATGTCCTAATAATTGGATCCAAGATATATCCAATTCTGTACGCAGAACAATATGACATAATTTCACACAGATGAGGAAAATCTCAGGCCTGTTCTGACTTAAGTGATATCTGCCTAGCTTGTAATGATGGCTGTCCAAATGAGTTTGGATTCTTCAGGCAAGGGAAGTGGGGAAATTAGTGAATGAGCTAAGATATGTTGCTGTCCAGAGAAAGGACAGAGAACACTGCAGAGAAAGGGCTTTTACTGTTATATGTAGAATTATACTCCAGTGGTTATTTACCTTCCTGGCAAGAAAATAATATAAATAGTGGAAGTTGTCTTAATAATGTGTTACTTATGAAAGTGCTGAGAAGTCACTTGCTCAAGTGTTCGATAGTTTATTTAAAAAAGTAACATAGAGGAGTATGGCAATAAAGTGAGGGGGTGACCATTTACGCAGAATCTGTTCACAACCTCAGGCTATATCAAAAGGCACACCATCCAATTAATTACTTTTATAATGTAACAGCTAATGTATGAACAAGGTCTTGCAACAACAAGGTCATAAGCAGGTAGTGGTGTTGGCTGAGGGATTAACATTGGTGAAGAAACTGGGGAGAACTTTTCTTCCAATGGTGCCAAAAGATCTTTTCCATCCACCTTTGGAGGTGGATCTTCATTTAAACTGTGTCCCAATTGTTGGGATCTCTGGCAGTGCAGCACTCTCTCTCAGTCCCACTTTGGACTACCAGCCTGGGTCATGTGTCCACGTGTCTGGAGTGGGCTCCAACCCATGATCCTTTATCATGGAAGAAGTGAGAGTGCTGCCCAGTGAGCCACAGTTGACACCGCGGAATAGCGACAATTGTATGTTTTGTATCTCCATGTGTATTTCTTTTCCCTCGTTTGGAAATAGTGGGAGGGTGTTGGAAGGAATGGCAGGCTGATTATCAACCTGTTTGAAACATATTATGAGGGCTTCTTCTCTGCTGGGTAAGTCTTTGTGTGGGACCTGATCCAGATTTTTTACACTACCTAGCCAGCCTCAAAGGCTCGGGAAGGGTTCTTGTGGGGCAGTGGTAGTGCCACCACCTCTGAGTCAGGAGGTCCACGCTCAGGTCCCACCTGCTTCAGAGGCGAGTAATAACACACATGTACATGTTAATTAGAAAATATCCCAAAACTTCTTGAATAGCAAACTATTACCCCACCCCCCCATTAAAGATTAAATCGGAATTCGCCATGATTTAAAATCCAAGTAAAAAGGGAACCCAAGCTGGTTATATCTTACTTTAATTCATCTTCTTCGATGAACCCACTGTCATCATCATCAATAGCTCGGAAAACTTTCCTGATGTCTTCAGCGGATTTTTTAGATAGACCGCAGGTCATAAAGAATTTTTTGCAGTCGAAGGAGTTATTGGCTGTGGAAAAGACAGGGAATGTATGTATCAAACACGACCTCTTTCTACCTCTGATCAAAACTGAACGATGCTGATATACAAGAAGCAAACAGGGATACATTACCTTGGCATTCCTTTAATGCGGTGGAAATGTCAGCAACAGACAGAACGTCAGTGATTTCCATTGTGAAACTGCTGGGAAATGAAACATAGCAGGGGGTTGAGGGGGATTCTGAGAGTGAGGTGTCCTACTCTTTCATTGCTCACACTCAGTGTCTGCTATCCAGCCACACTCTTGTACACTCTCCCTCTCTCATTACCTACCTCCTTTCTAACTTGTCTCTGTAACACGCCGTCACTTTTTCGACAGCTACTCGCATACCCTTTCACCATCTCTCTGTCAGTTTCTATTCTCTCCCCCTTTCGCTTTCACACTCTCTCCTCCCCTCACACATTCCCTCCCTCACAAACTCGCTTTCTTTCACACACTTCCATTCTCACGTACACATATTCTCACCTGTTTCTCTTTCACACACTCTTTCACGCACACACAGACACACCATCACTCTCTCACGATTCCTCTCTCGCTCATAATATACAGTAGCGTCGGAATACTGGAACTCCAGACATCAATGTAATCAAGCAGGCCAGGCAGCATCTGGAGGAAAGGAGCAGGCGACGTTTCGGGTATAACCCTTCTCCAGGACTGCTCCTTTCCTCCAGATGCTGCCTGGCTTGCTGTGTTTTTCCAGCCTCCTGTTTGTCTACCTTATTCCAGCATCTGCAGTTTTTGTTTTGGTCTCTAATCAATGTAATGATTCAGGTTGAAGATTGAAACTATCGTTATCCGCAAGTGATCTTCCCATCGCCTTACTTCTTCTGTACAACGATTTCAGATGAGCTTGTAGTATTTCCGATGTGCACTCACCTTTGCTGACTGCGCGACATTCACCGCCGCACTGCACTGGGATACTCCACTATTGCCTGCGCTGCTTCTTTCAAGGAGCTAACTAATTAGGTCCACAACTTCCCTTTCCCCATAGCCCTGTATGTTTCCCCATACATACATTATATCCACATCATATCGATATTCTCGGCTAAAACGTGAACCATCATTACCCCAAGTTACAATGCTTGCCCCTGACAGTTTGGGAACTTTACAGCGGGGGAACTTCACAGCGGGGGAACTTCTTCCAGATGTTCACACAGTCCGTCATGTGGAGACTGTTGACTCCAGCTCATCAATTTAAATAAAAAGTCCCAGGATCCGACCCTCAAACTCAATCCAAATACACTGGGGAAACTTAACCGTTACATCTCCACAACTTCCCAAAGCGATCGCACACATCTCATTACTAGAGCGCCGCCAAATAAAAAAAACAGCTACTCAATGAATTTCAAGCAACTTCCAATTCATTCCTCAACTGTGTTTGAGAATCGATCTGTTGTGGAAATGAAGAAGAGTAAAACCCCTTCAGAAAGTCTCACCTCTCAGGGATCTCTGGGCCTTGCACCAGATGGGAGCGAAGTACCTTCTCTGCGTGAGTTCGAGTGGGAGACCTGCTTTATATGCAGTCCATTAAGGTGACTCTTTACTGTACTTGGGTTGTGTCGCATGGATCAGATGGACGAGTTTCACCTGCTATTGAATTTCCGAACCAGCTAATGAACTGGTTCTATTTATATCCCCAGCATACCTGATACATTTCAAAAGACACTGTTATGTGTAATGTGTGTTTTGTTGGGCTCTTACTTTGCACAACAAATAACTTTGTAGTTGCATGATTTGAAGTAACATTTTCTTTTTAAAAAAATGACTTCTAGCGTTTGCTGTAAACTGTAGTCCAGTCTCGGTTTTCCAAAGCCCCGCGCAAGTAATTAATCTCTCCCTTTCCTCCTTCAGGCAATCCAACAGTTCATTTTGTTTTACCTGAGATATTAGCTTGGCGGAACGTGAGAACAGTGTTTGCTCCATTAATGCCAATCGAGTGACTACAGAGCAAGACTTTTCACCTTCCAGACCAGGGTAGTTGTTAGTAGTGGGATCTGTTTATCTTATTCTCTCATGGGCTGCGAGTATCGCTGCCAGTACCAATGTTTGTTTTCCATCCTTCATTGAACTCAATAGCTTGCTACACATCATTTCAAAGGGCTGTTAAGAATCAACCACATTGCTGTGGGTCCGGAGTTACATGCAGGTCAGATCGGGTAAAGATGGCAGATTTCCTTCTCTAAAGTCTTAGAACAGTAGTTTCATGACACCATTACTGAGACTAACTTTCAATTCCAACATTTTATAATTGATTAAATCTACAGCAGTCCTGGTGGTAATTTGAACCCCCGTCCCCAGACCACTGGCCTGGACCTTTGGCTTAATAATCCAGTGATGTTATTACCATGCCACTGCAACCTGCAAACCAGCTGACAGGCATTGTAGTAGAAAATTGAAAGGTTGGGTCAAAAATTCAGACTTGGCTAGAAGAGGATGTACTATACTGTGGCCCAATCTTTGATTGCCCTGTTCAGGAAGACTGAGGATGTTACATTCCAGCTTGGTTTCCAATTATTTTTTCTAAACTTCTTTCACAGAATTGGGTGTCACTGGCTAGACCATCATTAAATGCCCCCATTCCTAACTGTCCATGAGAAAATTCCAGTGAGCAAAATTCTGGTGAGCTGTTGTCCTGAAATACTGTATATCCTTGGGATGTAGATACAAACGAAAGTGCTGTTAAGAAGGGAGTTTCAGGATTTTGATCAGTGGCAATCAAGTAAAATAAAAATGACAATTTTTATGAGATAAAGTGCAGCAAGCATATTCCAATCCTACATCACCCTCAAAGAGTGACTGAGAATTTAATTGCATAATAAGTAAAGACACCACATGGCTCTCAGAACTGCTGTCTCATTCATTATGATCTTCTTCATCTCCACTTCTCCACCCACTCTTCACATTCCTTGATTCCCTATAATCTGTCTCAGTCTTAAATATATTCAATGAAAGAGCATCCAAACCCTATGGGTATACAAATTTTCAAAGATTCATAACCATAAATTTTCAGATTCATAAGTGAAGAAATTTCTCCTCATTTCAGTCCCACAGGATTGACCAGTTATCTCGAGTCTGTGCTCCTATATTCTGGATTTAACAGCCATGGGAAACAATGTTTCAGTATTTACCCAATCAAGTCCCTTCAGAATCTTGTTTGTTTCAATGACATGACCTCCATTCTTCTAAACTCCATCAAATATTGGCCCAATTCAGTCATCTTGTCATCTTGGAACAACCTTCACATCCCAGATACCAATCGCAACCACATTTGCTGTACAACTTGATCTCTGAGGCTAATTAATCTCTTTACATTTATGTCTGATTTTATATATACACCAATATAGCCTATAGTTATGCTCAAGCCAAACATCAAATCTGACAAATATAAGGGATAGTAGGAACTGCAGATGCTGGAGAATCCGAGACAACAAGGTGCAGGGCTGGATGAACACAGCAGGCCAAGCAGCATCACAGGAGCAGAGAGGCTGACGTTTCGGGCCTAGACCCTTCATCAGAAAAGGGGGAGGTGAAGGGGGTTTTGAAATAAATAGGGAGAGAGTGGGAGGCGGATAGAAGAGGGATAGAGGAGAGGATAGGTGGAGAGGAAACAAACAGGTCGAAGAGGCGGGAATGGAGCCAGTAAAGGTGAGTGTAGGTAGGGAGTTAGGAAGGGGATA